TCTTCCCCTCCTTGAACCCTTCAAAATGATCCAAAAGTTTATACTAAAGAATCTGTTATATATATATTGCAATTTTTAACCAAGTTTTGTTAATTACCGTATTTTGAAGGATTATTAATTCTTTCCGCTAGGGAAGTGTGATAGTCGTGGAGGGAGTATTTGAATCCGGATAGTTCATGATTTAACCGCCTCAAACCATTCAGAAGCTTCTGGTTGTGCAGATTGATCAGCTTAGTGACCGGCTTAAAACAAGATCCTATCTTTGTTTGGTCTATAACCAATGAGGCTGGTGCACAATCGTATGGTCCCGTGTTCAAGAATCCAAACTTCCTTCCTCCAAGATTATACACTTCCTAAGAACAAAACATCATATCTCATATTTCAGACAATAGAAACCCTACAAAAACCTTCAATTTCGATCTAAATTTACCTTGAAAACGTCTGTCATGTTACCAACAACATAATCGACGTATTTCTCGTTGGAAATCGATTGAAAAATGGAAGAGTTTGTAGTGAACGGATATTGATAATCGTTGAGTCCAATATGAAACAAATAAACAGCTCTTGAGATAACCCTCTTCCCCTCAGCATCTCCTAACTTAGACCTCAACATTTTTTCAACCTTCTTGAAGTTGTTTAATTGTGTTCTCAAATTTATCACCTTGAGTGGTGAAAATGTTTTTTTGAAAAAAAAGTAGACAAGACAAACAATTACCATCGGTAATTTCAACAAAAGAAATAAAAATCCAAATAAATGTAAAGTAAATAACTAATGAATACCAATCCGGAAAAGGTTCCGACCAAAGCTCCGGCGCCACCTGAAGCAAAATTTACCCCATAGGTAAATTGGTTGTTACCGTTGAATGGTTGTAAATATGGCGGGATCAACGGTAACCATGCGTACTCCGCTGCCATGTTAGCGATCAGTTAAAAAAAACTTACCGGGAAGTAAAATAACGAAAGAGTAGTTTTGGTACCGATGAAATCAGGAATCAAACGTCCGTCGGAGACTCTTCCAGTAGGAGACTTGAATGTTGTTTGACCATACGGCCAGTAATTAGACCGGACACTAGAGAAAGTATCGATGTAATTGTTGTTTCCAGCATCGAACACAGAATCTCCAAACACGAACAAAGCGGATTGGTTTGTTATCAGATTGTTGTTGTCTATGCAGTTGATGGAGCCGATTGATATGATTATTGTGTAAGCTAAGAAAGTGATCGAAACTAACTGAGAGTTTTCCATGTCTAATGTTTAATGATTTGTTTTCTAATATAGAGGTTTGGGTTAATATATATATATATATATAAACACACACGTTTTTATATTAACAGTTTTTGTTTTTTTAGAAAAAATCTTCTTGTCAAGTTTGTTTTTTCTAATGCATAATTTTCCAACGTACGACTTTGAATCGAAATCATGGGATTATGTCTTGTTGATAAAATTATGAAATTGACAAAGACAGCTTTAATACTTCTAAAAGAGCTATATAAAATTCAGAAGTAAATAATTAGGTTTGATCATCAATATAAAATGAGTACTTTAATTTATGTAAAATAAAATTTTAATACTAAGATAATAGAAGACAAAATGTACATATAGTATATGCCTATATGATATCAAAAGATTCATCAATTTGTATTTCAAATCAATAACCAAGTGTTCTTCATAATTTAGCACAAGACAAATAATTAATGGTTTTGCTCAAAAAAAAAAAAAAAAAAAGACAAATAATTAATGGTTAGTTTATAGTTTGGTGATGAATTGTTTTTACAATATTAAAGCCATGAAATTTATGAGAAATTTTGGTTGGCTAGTCAAAATTTCAAAACACAATACTTTTCAATTCGAAGCATGTAAGTCACTTTTGAGTCTCTTGGGGTGTGCTGGTTGTGCTAGTGCACCGGGTCCCACTTTTTTTTGTTTTTCTTTGTATTTTAGGGTCCAAATTTTTCAAATAATTGCAATTAAGGGTCTAGTTTTTAAAATGTTAAATATTTAGACAATTACATAAAAAAAATTGCAGCATAGCATATGGTCCAATAATTTGTTGAGCCGGCCCTGCTTTTGACTGAGACAGTAAATAAATGTAATAAATTATAGACCAGCGAGCAAAATTGACCATAGAACAGTAGTAACATGTTTCTTGTGGAATGAGTAAATTAGTAATAATCAGGGCCGTGCCTCAATAGAGAAAAAATAAACATTTGCTTAGGGCATCAAAATTTGGGAGAAAAATTAGGGGCATGTATCTATTCTTTATAGAGTTATATAAAGAGATAATTAGGTGTAAAATAGAATTTCAGGTCCAAATTAAATTTCTCGCTAATAGTTTAAAGGCCCCAACAAGATATATATTTCGCCATCAAACTGGCCGACTTTACCCCCACGCGCTTTCGGAAAGGAGTCTTCATCTATGTCAGAGCAATTAATGTTGTGTCATTTTCCAGTCAAATAGCGTGTTATTTCCCTTCAATTCTACAAGTCATATCTCTTTCTCTCTCTTAACTCCATAAATCTTTTTTCTCTCTCTCTCTTTTTCCATTTTCTAACGTTGATAGCTTATTTGTTGTTGATTCTTCTTCTTCATTTGTTTTTCTCATCAAAAACATATTTATATGAGATCTGGTGATAATCCGCGATGGATCAACAACGGTAACGTGTTTGCGGTGGTGTTGTGGCGAAACTTTGTTGACAATCGGCGATGATTCAACGACAGATCTGGAGTGGTGGTTCAACGACGGATCTGAAGAGGTGGTTCAACGGCGGTAACCTGCTTTTTATGGTGGGCTTTATATATCGGTATTTAACCATGGTGGGCTTTATATATCGGTATTTGGTTAAGTTATTGTAACATAGATATGTATTTTATATATTGGATGTCTATATCACTAATTTAGTTGTAATATATGTTTGTATCGTGTATACAATTGTGTTTGCATGTGTAAAAATGTTAATAACACTCAATATATATTTACAGGTATACATATATTAATTAGAGCTTTATATATGTATTTACATCAATACAAATGTTAATAACACCCTATGTATCATGTAATATATATATATGTAATGATATGTTTACATATATAAAAATGCTAATAACGCTATATTTACGTGTTTATATGTATATAATTGTTAATAACACTTTATATAGGTATTAAATTCTGTGTATAGGTATTATGACCCACCCTCGGGTGTGCGTCCGTGCCGTAAGGGTTCGGTCTCTAGTCTGGACCACCTCGGTGGGGCCAGGACACTCGGTTATCAAAAAAAAAAAAAAATGAATCTTCTTTGCTAAATGCCTAAATCTATTTGTAAATAAGTATTTGTCAATTTTTAACTTTATATATACTGCTTATTTTACGAACTGGGCCTAAATTGCAATTTTGGCCCATTTTTATCCTTTGCTCTTCTTCTTTATCATCTAATGCACCACAACAATGATGACCAATATCTGTAGTCACTGCTGTTGTCAAACCCGACGAGTAAAGGAAAACCAAAGATCAATGAAGTTGAAGTAACCTTGAATCTTGCGGACAAAAACCGAGACAACAAGGTCTCGTTATCTGACGCCGACCATGGAAATAGAGAAGTTAATCAAGATTCACACTGATGCAGAGCGTTTAAGTCAAGAAACCACTACCACTACAGAACATGAAGACATCACATTTGAACTATACGGTCCCTCTCTGGTTCTTGATTTTCAACACCAGCAAGTAAAACGAGGAAAAAGAAATAAACTTTGGAAAGGGCTAGAGAGTTGAAACATGATCCAAACACACAAACTTATAATAAAGAAGAAAGTGATGTGATGATTATCTTTTATTTGCGTACCCTCTCTTTAGCTATGCATTACAACAAAGTGTTCAGTGTTCATAATACCTATACACAAAATTTAATACCAAATTACCGAATTCAGTCCCGATCAGTTTATTTACATCAGAAGAAAACAGAACACCGACTTTCACCTGTCCAACAGTTTCCGCGAGACTGACCAAGAAAAGGCTAAATCCAAACCTATGAAGAAAGAAAACTATCAAAGTAGACCACCCTTACAAAGAAACAACAACTGGTAATATCATCTTTTTCCACAGTCGTCTACTTTTAAGCAATTCTTTAACAAAAGCAGAAAACACATACCGATAACGATCTGTAAAGCAGTTGTAGAAAATAGAAAACAGAAACTTTAAAGAAGCAATTGATTGAAGAATTAAGAATAAAGAAAGTTTATAGGCAAAACCCACTTCAAGAATATAATACCTTTCTTTTGTAGTCTTCACAAAGCTTAGCATCTAAACCAATTCCTCTCCTTAGCCACCAAGAAACCCATAACTCTACATAAAACACTAACAAACTTCTCCATTCTCACTTTTTATCTTTCATTTTCATCTGCAAAGGAAAAAACAAGAACCTGTTACACACAAACAAAAACACATTTCAGATTACAGATTTTGTTGAGATATGAGTGCAGATTGGGGACCTGTGATTGTAGCAGTGGCTCTGTTCATCCTACTCTCACCAGGATTGCTATTTCAGCTACCGGCAAGGACAAGAGTTATGGAGTTTGGGAACATGAGCACAAGCGGGATTTCGATTTTGGTCCACGCCATTATTTACTTCTGTATACTCACTATCTTGATTATTGCCATACAAATTCACATCCATTTCTGATCTTATAGTGTAACAAAGGTTTCAACTTTCAAGCCATTTTCTTTTTGTTGCTAATCTCTGATTCTTGGCTCATATGGTTTCAAGCAGAGTGATTAAATAAATAATTTTGTTTTCAACAATTCAATTTCTAAAAACTCTCTATAAGTAGCTCAAATCACACATCAAATGAGATAACAATATCTCTGATCTCTCTCGTGGCTTCAACATGTAACAATGCAATATAAAGCATCTTCTTTTTGCTACAAATTTCTCTCTTTTTCACAATTTTTCACTAATCTCTGATTCTTTGCTAATATGGTTTAAAGGTAAGTATTGCATAGACAAATAAAAATCTGTAATTTGTATTCCACAATTCAATAGCAGAGATGGAATCAAACATCAATTTTTGCATTATAACTTAATCACAACAATACAAGCTTAATGATTATTACATTTTCAGTAAAAACTCAATGCATAACACAAACTATAGAACAGAGTAAAGTATACAAATCCCTAAAAACAGAGTTCCAGATCTCAGAAGATTCCTAGAAGAGAACTCAGATTCAGCAAAAGGGTTACCTTTATTTCGCCCTATAAATCAGCCGGTTGTGATGTGGAGATTGACAGCGAGGATCAAGATCGTGTAAGCAGCGAAGAAGATGAGTGTGTGAACGGCGATAGCTTTGCCGTTGGTTTTCATGCCGCCGAATTGGAGAGTGTGGTGATGTCCGGGCAACGAGAAAAGGAGACCTGGGGAAAGGAGAACGAATAATACAACTCCGACGAGAACTGGAGCCCAATCCGCCATTGCTATGAAGAAGAAAACGTAAAAAGCAGACACCTTTTTTCGATAAGGCGGTGGTGTTGTGACTTGTGAGAGAGAGTAAAAGAGTCAAAAACAGAGTTTGAAACAAAGAAGAAAATCTGAGGTAAGGCCAATTATTTTAATTTTTAATTTTTCGTATATTTTTTTTATCTTTATTTTTTGCTCAAACAATTATTATTTCGTCTTTTTTTAGTTAATTATTTATAATTTTTGAAAAAATAACCATTTGTTACGAAATTTTGAAATAATTTTTATATATGCCAAGTAGAAAGTTTTTTTGTCAAACAAATTTATAAGATTTATAATCATCTTGTTAAGTATATTGTTTTTCTTGTTGTAGTTAGTTTGGCCATAGCAAAATATTAACATATGTTTCTTACAAAATTTCAGGTGAACGATTTGCAAGTCATAACCTTCATGACATTAGATCCCTCTGCTCCTCTTTCTCTGCAATTTCTTTTCAATTTATCCCTAGGACAAGCAAATGTTTTGGCTGATTCCGTGGCTAAAATTGCACTATATGCGTTTGTCATTTCTTCCTCTTCTAGTGGAGTTGTGAACGTTTAAACTTGAACGGAAATTTAAAAGTTTGATTCAAAAAAAAAAGAAATATTTACTCAGATGTTAACCAAAAGTTCGAATATTACTAGAATATCATACATTTTCTAAAAATTACTCATATGTTTTGAGCATTTGTGTAATTACAATTAACACCCTTCATTAGTTTTTTTTTAATTAATAATTTTTAATTCGTTTTTAATTAAAAATAATAAATAAAAATTTGATTATCCATGTCATTAATCCACATCACCAATCTCACACTCCTCAAACTCACGTTATTTCTCCTCTTCTCTTTTTTGTCTCCAAATCCATGAAAAGCTTTTAGATCATTTCTCCTCTTCTCTTTTTTTTGTCTCCAAATCCAAGAAAAGCTTTTAGATCTAATAATCTGCAACTAACTTGGGTACAACATTGACAGAGATCTTCAAATTGCAGGATTGGGCTGGATCTTCCTAGACCTCACAGCCACAACGCTTGCCATAGGGTCCCAAATCAAAAGCTTCGTCAGATCTACTCGCAACCACGCTCACGAAAAAAGTCATCAAAAATCAAAACCCAAAACAAAGAGATCTATGGAATTCTACATGATTCGTTACAGGTTTGAGTTGAAATCAAGAATAGCTACTCTTTTACTTTGATTTTACATGTCTCTCGTTTAATCTTCCTCTCAATCGATCTATTTGGAGACATTTCTACTTCTATCTATGTTTTGATTCATACGGTTTAGTCTTCCTCCTATGTATCCCTCAAACATATTTTTACGAATCTTAATTTGATTGTTGTTATTTGACCAATAAATTTCATATTGTCTTCTCCAAAAAAATGTTGCTTTCCGATCTGTATTATAAATCAGCCGTAAAGTGATGTAACTCAGCCGTAACGTGATGTAACTCAGCCGTAACATATAATTTACACAACCTTTCGTCTTCCCTGAATGATAACTCAGCCGTGACATGTAATTTACCGAACCTTTCGTCTTCCCTGAAGCATATAACTCACCCGTAACATATAATTTACACCCATCTATCGTCTTCCCTGGAGAATATAACTCAGCCGTGACATGTAAATTTACCGAACCTTTCGTCTTCCCTTAAACATATAACTCAGCCGTAATGTAATTTTACCGAACCTTTCGTCTTCCCTGGAACATATAACTCAGCTGTGACATGTAAATTGACCGAACTTTTTGTTTTTCCTTAAGCATATAACTCAGCCGTAATGTAATTTTACCGAACCTTTCGTCTTCCCTGGAACATATAACTCAGCCGTGACATGTAAATTGACCGAACCTTTCGTCTTCCCTTAAGCATATAACTCAGCCGTGACATGTAAATTTGCAGCGAAACAATAAGAGACGCAACATTTCCTCTAACTTTATCATCGAGCACCAACTTCACAAGTTTTTCGTGCGTTGTTTTCGCATCTATCTGCACAACTCTACACCCTCTTTCATCGGTGTTAAATACGTATTTGTGTTTTTATACCCAATTACCGAAACCGGATCAACCATATCGGGAGAAGGATGAAAGAAATTGAAGAAGAATGAGGAAGACGATGAGGAATTGGAAGTTCCGGTGATGTGATAAACTCAGGTGAAGAAGACGAGTTGAAAAAATTTGGCCCTATTTTTTTGTCCTTTGATGATGATGACATGGAATGATGACATGGAATGTTGCATCCACGTCATTTTTTAATTGATGAAGTGGCAAGTAAGCCACCAAACGAAAATGTAAATCAGCTTAATTAAACCAGCCATCAAACAAAACTTTAACTCAGCCGCAACATGAATACTATTACAGTAATTAAAAAACGAAAAAACGGCAGCCAAATTCAGCCGTTTACTGTCGTAACTCAACCAAAAATATTTAACTCAGTCGTGTCGTTTAATAAGTCGGCCGTCATTGCATGCTATTCTAGTAATTAATCTTTCGCTACTAAGTCAGCCATAATAAGGCCGAGTTTTCCGTTAATCCAGCTCATTACGGCTGATTTATGATACTCGAACATAAATCAGCCGTAACGTCATCCCATAACTAAGCCGTCTTTGATAACTCAGCCAGCCGGAGAAAGTTAAGTCAGCCGTGTCGAAGCAATAACTCAGCCAAAAATTTGACAAATCAACCATCGGGTGAAAACTCAGCCGTAACTTAGGCTGGGTTATGCTCGAAAGTCAGCCATTTTATCATAACTCAGACAGATTTCAGTAAGTCAGCCGTAACTCCAGGCTGGGTTATACTCGTAAGTCAGCCGTTTGCTCATAACTCAGCCATTTTTCTTAAATCAGCCGCAACATACCGTAACTCAGCCGTCACTGCCGCTATATCGCTCGACGGCTGAGTTCATTAATACACGTCAGCGATTTCTGACGTGGCGACGCGGCTTTGCTGACGTGGCAGTGGCATTCTTTGTAATTACGTTTTTTCCTGTAACGTTTAACAGGGGCACGCTGGGTATAAAAAATATACCCGAAATATGATAGTAATAAAAAAAAGATTTGTATGTTTCTGGTAATTTCATATAAAATGTATAACATCTGAGTAAATCTCCCAAAAAAAACTCCCTATAAAATTTTACATGTTTCTTCTTATGCCAAAGGAAAATATTTTAAATTGAATACACAAAAAAGTTTGATTATTACCATATTAAAAAGAATATTTGTGTCAAATCGAAAAAGTAGTCAAATTTTGTTCTCTTTTACGGAATTTATTGATCGCTTAGCAAGTGGTGGACCCGTTACTTGTAATCCAATTTAGATATTTTTAATTGTAACTCAAGTCAAATCAATTTTAATCATAATACATTCAAAAACATAAAATAACAAAATTTCTCCACACATATTTCGAAAACTGGCGTGTACATTTATTGATCACCGAAAGACATGTCGCTATTCATGTGAATCACATAGGATTTTGAATGTGACATAGAACCGTTTCTCTACAATTTACATCATTGTTTACGATTTTTTCTTGTCTTTTTAGTTTTTACATTGCTAAATGGTCGCAACTTTTTCTTTTACTAAATGTGGTTCTTCAGCTTATATTATTAGTCCCTCCATGAATCCTACAACTGCCATGTAAAGTATATAATAAAAATCGATCTCTGACTCACTACAAGAAATTAGGTTGTTCACAATGATCGTAATCGTCGTCGTGAAGAAATTTAAAACTCACAAATCGGAAATTATTTGTAAAACAAAGGGAGTAGAAATAGAAGAATCTATTATTGAAAGTTATTCTCCAATAGTCAAAACTGCACCACATAAATTGGTTAAACCCGCTCAAACCGCATAAATATACCGCTGCAAACGCTCAAACCGTCTATATACATATACTATTGAATATTTGATATGATTAAGCTACAATCGTTTCAACCGCTCTTTCAATAGACAAATATAATTAAGACACCTTAGCTAAAGCAAAACTCCACAAACTCTCTCTCTTCCTTTAATTGTAAAGAAGTAGACTTTATCAGATTCTCATTCTCACAATTCCATCATCACTTTCTTCACCCATCCATATTTCCCACTCTCTTCTTTCTTTCTCCATTTCTCTTTCTTTTCCCTTTGTTCTTGTTCTTATTCTTGTTCTTGTTCTTGTTCTTTTTCTTGTCCTGCTACTTGTTCTTCTTCTTGTCCTTGTTCTTGTTCTTGTGAGAAGAGATGCATGATTGGGCTGCACCGTTGATAGCTTCCGCTTTGTTTGCGTTTCTGTCGCCAGGATTGATACTGCAGTTTCCGGGGAAAGAATCACCGGTGGGTTTCATGAACATGAAGACGACGGTAGCTTCTATTTTCGTTCACACAGTTCTCTATGGTCTCTTTCTCATCCTCTTCCTCGTCGTTCTCAACATCCATGTCTATGTATAGCTCATTTATTACACTCATGTATGTGCCTCTGTTTGTGCCAGGGGATTTAGTAGTCATGAGGCTTTGTTTTAGGACTTATCTTTGTTCTTCTTCTTAATTACTGCTCCTAGAATTTAATCCTTCTCATCAATAACCATTTTGTTCTAGTGTCATTCAATATATATAGCAATCTTACATGTGTATGTATTTGTGACACAGTATATGTAAAAACTAAAAAGTTGTAAACATTATTAGCCTTAGTGAATATTGTTGATTTAGGAATACAGATTGAAAAATCATCTGTAAATCTTATCTACTTTACTCTAAACTTAAGGTTTGAGTGACTTCTCTTACCATTTACCAATGATTCAGTATTGTTACTTGGAAGAGAAATTTACTAAATTAAAACCTTTGACTAATAAAAAATAACCCATTTGATTACACTTGTAACTCGAGTTGGGTAAAAATTCGCCTGCTTGGACTCAATTTGACAAAAGAGAGGCTTGGATTTAGACACATACAACAACTCTTAAAACTTTGAAACAAAGCTTTTCTTGTAAAGTTAGCAAAAGGATCATTTTCATGAACAAGACTAAACATAAAAAGAGACAAGGAAAACTTCACATTCGATCTTCTAGCACTCCGGATTGGTTTCAGCATCATCGATTGATGCAGATGCAAGAACAAGTTCAGGTGTAGGAAGTGTGTAAGTGTAATTCTCACGTCTCGCCTTCTTCTTCTCCCTTTGCAATCTAAAATTCTCTCTCTTTCTTGCTCTGTAGCTGTTGGGATTCTCTGGCACAATTTCTCTTGGATACACACTTATCTGCAAAGAAGTATCACATTTTCTTTAAAATCCAAGAAGATTAAGAAAGCTTAATCACAGTATGATCCAAGATTTTACCTGCTTCCTGTCAGGGCCAAACTTCTCAAACTTGACTAATCCATCGATTAAAGAGAAGATGGTATGATCTTTACCAATCCCAACATTTTTCCCAGCATGGAACTACACAAAAACATCATTCATGAATCAATCTTCTCAAACAATATAGTTTCTTCCTAGACACAAACATAACCTAACAGAGAATGTAATCTGAAATAAGAGCTTCTAAATTTCGACAATGAGAGTTTCGTGTTTCAAAACATCATTCATGAATCAATCTTCTCAAAACAAAACAGTTTCATCCTAAACACAAGCAATTTCAAAATCTTTTACCAAATTCCCAGAATTGAGCTACAACTAGAAGAGACTGAATTTGAAACAAGAGGTTCTAAAATTCAACAGTTTAGTGTTCTTAAGTGTTACCTTAGTGCCACGTTGACGAACAATGATGGCGCCAGGTTTAGCGACTTGGTCACCGTAAATCTTGACGCCGAGTCGTTGCCCAGGAGAATCACGACCATTCTTAGTGCTACCAGCTCCTTTCTTATGGGCAGACTCAATCGTCAACGGAATCGGAGCTTGAAGATTTTCCAAAGGAAGAGTAACAGTGAAAGTTGTTTTGGGGCTAAAATTCAAATCGCCTCTGAGAAAAGACGAGGTTGAAGAGAGAGACAAGCCTTTGAATGCCCCAACTAGATTCAAAGTCATCGATGTTGCCATCGCCATTGCTAAAATCACCCAAAATCAGTAGAGAATTCGTTTGAATTTGGAAATGGAGAAATCAGGGTTTTTGTGAGGTTGAAGAAGAGGAAGAAGTTCTCTTTACCTTACCTCCTCCTTATCGTTTCGTCTCACTGGATTAGTGACTATTAAAATTACACGTCATCAAATAACGTAGGTCCCACCATGTTTAAATCGAGACGATAAGTACACGTCAGCAAGTGAAAAAAAAGGAGAATGTTGACAGTGGGATTTGAACCCACGCCCTTTCGGACCAGAACCTTAATCTGGCGCCTTAGACCAACTCGGCCATATCAACTTGTTGTTTAAGTGGTTTACAAATTATTTATCTAACCAAAACAACAAAGGAATGTTCAGAATGATTTTGATATCCGGTTAAATGATTTTTGTATAAAAGTGTAAAGAAAACGAGATTAAATATTCATATTCGTATGAATATCACTAAATCAAACTGAGAAATAAATTTTCTTTGATTTGGATGAGTATCGATTCAAATAAAAGCGATTGAAATGGATGAAAAATGGATTTTGTAGTATTGTTGTTCAAAGAGAATTCAAATTCGAACAATGGTGTATCGCTTAGCGCAATGGCAATTATCACGCATTTCACTTCAATTGAGCTACCATTTGCTTATTGTTTAAAAATTAAAACGATAATGAACTTTTCTTATACCAAACTTAGGTGTCAAAGCCAACACCCACACTTTCATTTCTATCTTAAAAGTGATATTTTCTTCATTAAGGAAAAGGAAAAATACACTGAATATTACGAGACTAAACAACTTAATTAAGCAAAATCTAAAAATCCTCGTCAAGCTTGAAGACATGATCATCATTAAACGCAGCGTTTCCATGAACACTAGACATAACAGAAGCTTTCTGATACTCACCAACTCTCTTCTCAAAAAAGTTAGTTTTACCTTGAAGCGAAATCAATTCCATCCAATCAAAAGGATTACTCACACCATACACCTTACCACACCCAAGCGCAGTCAATAACCTATCAGCAACAAACTCAATGTACTGACTCATCAACTCACGATTCATACCAACCAAAGCACAAGGAAGCGCGTCGCAAACAAACTCTCTCTCAATCTCAACCGCATCACAAACAATCGATTTCAAACGTTCTTCATCAAGCTTAGTTCTAAGAAGACTATAGATCAAACAAGCGAAATCACAGTGAAGACCTTCGTCTCTCGAAATCAATTCGTTAGAGAATGTAAGTCCAGGCATTAAACCTCGTTTCTTCAACCAGAATATCGAACAAAAGCTACCAGAGAAGAATATACCTTCAACGCAAGCAAAAGCTACGATTCTCTCACCGAAGCTTTGAGATCCGTTGATCCATTTCATTGCCCATTCTGCTTTTTTCGTCACACAAGGAATGGTTTCGATTGCGCGAAAGAGATGATCTCTCTCTTTGTTGTCTTTGATGTAAGTGTCGAGAAGGAGACTATACATCTCAGAATGAATATTCTCGATCGCGATTTGGAATCCGTAGAAGGCACGAGCTTCTGAGATCTGAACATCGGACATGAATCGGGTCGAGAGATTCTCCAGAACGATTCCGTCTGATGCGGCGAAGAAGGCGAGGACGTGTTTGATGAAGTGACGTTCGTCGTTGGTTAGTGAGTTTTCCCAGTCGCGATTGTCTTGAGAGAGATCGACTTCTTCGGCGGTCCAGAACGACGCTTCGGCTTTCTTGTACATCTCCCAGATCTGTGGGTATTGGATTGGGAACATACAGAATCGATCTGGTGTTGGTGTTAGGATTGGTTCCTCTGGCATCGAAGGCATTTTTTCTATGAAGAAGATTTGATCTATGAGTTTTTTTTTTGTGTGAATTATTATGCATCTGTGATTGAGATATTTATCTTGAAAATTTGGGGATATAGGAGGGAAATGTGAAAATATTTTCCCGCTCCTAGAGAGGGAAATAAAAAGAAACAGGAGGGAAAATGTGAATACTTAAAAAAGAAAAGACATATGGGCCTGTGGGCCTATGAATAAAAAGCCCAGTAAATATTTTCCCGCTCTTAAATAGGACGGAATAAACGCTGTAACTTCCCCTGCAACGGCTTTTCTCAACGGGAAACCAAAAGAAAACGGAAAAAAAAAAAAAAAGCTCGAAGAACGCATCAATGGCGTCGAAGCTTCTAACGACCTTCTTCCTCCTATTTTTCGTTCTCGATCCCGTCGCACCTTCTGTGACATCTGTTTCATCCGCCGTAGAAGTGCTCTCCGATTCCGGCTACTTATCCATGGGACTCACTCTACAGCTCGCGAATCAAGATCTAAACCTCGAAGATTGGCAAGAACTCACCATATTCGCACCTTATGATCAAGCTTTCTCCAGATTTGGTCAACCGTCGCTTCTCGATATCAAGTACCAGCTTTCTCCGACGAGACTCCCCGGAGAAGCTCTAAGAAACCTCCCAAATGGCGCCAAAATCCCTACTCTCAGATCTGATTCCTCTCTAACCGTCACGAATTCTTCACGATTCGGACGTAAAATTTCGATCAACAACGTCGTAGTCCAAGATTCTCCTGTTTTTGACGACGGTTACATCGTGATTTACGGATCCGGCGAGTTTTTCACATCCCCGACGAAGATCTCCGACGATTCATCGTCGTCTTCTTCAATCCCAAACCCTACCTCATCTACTGGTTCAATCCCGAACCCTAGCTCAGCGACTCACACACCTCCAAGTCCTAAATTCGCTTCCGATTCCACTCGAAATCTTCCAAATGGATCAAAACCAGTGAATTGCTTCAACATCTTTGAATCGGCTTCAAGATTGTTAATGTCGAGAGGTTTCGTGATCATAGCTACGTTCCTCGCTCTGCAATTAGAAGATACTTCAGATAACGACACGAAGATCACAGTCTTTGCTCCAATCGACGAAGCAATTCCAAATCCAAGTACCAAATTCTCCGATTACGTTACTATTTTCAGAGGACATGTAATCAATCGACTTCTTTTATGGAAAGATCTTCAGAAATTGGCTAAGGAAGGATCGATTCTGGAAACTGTTCTTAAAGGGTATGAAATTGAGGTTTCTTGGTCTGGTGATATACTTCTTCTTAATGGAGTTCCACTCATATATCCAGATTTGTATGTCAACGATTGGATTGTTGTTCATGGCTTTAATCAGATGATTGTACCAAAAGAGAAACAGGTTAATGTGGGAGAGTCTATCACAGTGCTAAACAATGGAGATGAAGAAGAAGGTGTTCATGAAGAGTACTCTTCTGAGTTAGGTGACTATGGTCTTCATTGATCTCTAGAAGACAATTTGATTCAACATTAATGTAGAGAGATACTCATAATAGTTCTTCATATACATTTTCTGATTCTCTTACTTCATAATCTTGAATTTGTTCACAGAGTTGTTTACAATGAGAAACTCTTTAGTTTGAAAATGAATAAGAAGTTACTGCTTCGATACCGGTATCTGAGATTTGGCAAAATCGATCAACGTAATCCATTTGTTGTGATGTTGATGATAGTACTTGGAATCATTGTTCTTTGTTTTCTTCATAGTCTGTGAGGTTGTTGATAGTTGTGGACCAAAGCTATGTTTGTGAACCTCTGTATGTAGTACTGGAGCCTGCCCTTTAGCACAAAGAGAGAAGAATTGGTCTAAAGAACAGAAACCAAAGATTCATGACCATTGCTTCACTATATAATGTGTGTTTTTTTAACTCAAAACTTCATCTATAGGCGAAAGGACCATGATTCAGATGAACTATTCTCCTTCTATGAGTCGATAAATTCAAACCACCTAGCAGTTACTATCGCTAGGACAAGATAAGTGTTAATCTTCAAAGCTAGAACCTGACCATGGACAAAGGTAGTAGAAGGAAAAGCAAAACTCACCTCACTGTTTTCCAGATTGAAGTACCGGTCCTACTACTCGCCGAACCGTACATGAACAGTAAAGAAAACTGATATTTTTGTTAACCAAATGATCGTACCCAAAGAGAAACAGGTTACATTAGGAGTCTTTGTCAGAGCTCTATGATGGGGAAGAAGAAGAAGAAGAAGAAGAAGGTGATCATGAAGAGTACTCTTCTGAGTTAGGTATAATGTCTTCACTGATTTGTATGTTAATTTCCACAGGATAATATGAGTTCTTATACATTTTCTGAGTCTCTGATTCATAACTTCAAATCTGTTCTAGGAGTTGTTACAATGATAAAACTCTTTTGATTCAAAATGCATAAGAAAAAGTCCTGGTCTTTAGACGCTCTTGGTGAGTGTTATTGCCTTGACTCCGGCATCTGAGATTTGGCAAAACTGATCCACGCAACAACGTAACCGGCTAAGATGACCCATCCGAACACATCATACTTGAACTCACTGTTCTTTTCTTGCTTCATCGTCTGTGAGAAAGAACAAACATGTTAGATTTTCAGCAAAACCAATTTGTAGTTCTGAATAAAAGAAACAACCTTTGCACTGGTAGATGATGGTCCAGCGGTGCCGCCTAATGGTTGTGGGCCTAAACCGTGTCTGTGAACCTCTTTATGTAGTTCTGGACCCTGCAGTTTCGCAGAGAGAGAAGGAGAATTGGTCTAACGAACAAAAACCAAAGATCCATAACCATTGCTTCACTGTACAATGTGTTTTTCTACACTAAAAAACTTCATCTCTAGGCATAAAAATATGATTCAGATACATTATTCTCCTTCTATGAGTCACTGTATATCAAACCAAACCACCTCACAGTTCCTATTGCTAAGACAACTAGCTAAGTCTCAACAACACGCAGATCTCAATTTCTTAATCAGGAACTTAAACATGACCAACTTAAGAAACCATTAACAAAGATGTACCTTGGAAGCCAATTCCACTGATTTCCGATAGAGTTCGTTCTCCGGTTGCTGCAAAAATACATCTCAAATTACAAAACACCAAACAGAAAAACATATAACAATCACATTGACTAGGTCAGGATTACGAAAGAAAGAGACTTTACCTCCTCCACAGCTAGTTGAAAGAACTGAGAAGCTTTCTCAAAGTTATCTCTAGCTTCTGTCTGATCAGGATTCAAAAACCCATATGAAATATGAGCATTCCCAATTAACCAAAGAGCATCATGCTTCTTTGGATCGATTAACAACGCCTCTCCCAGCCTCGAAATGGCCTCTACGCAAAATTCAATCTTCCAAGTATTAAATTACGGATTCCAATAACAAAACGTACATCTTAAGATACATAAACATACATAGAGACGAATCTAAGTCCATAAGATTTCACATTACCAAGCAGACTCAATCACACGAATTTGAAAATTATCATCAAAGCTAATAATCTGAATTCGATGCAACTAAAAAGAGAAGAAATAACCTAAAATCATCTGCTTTGACTCTGAGGGTTTCTGAAACTGTGATAGTTCCAGTAAAGCTCCTGCCCATCTCGTCAAATTCTACAAAAAAAAAAATCAAAGAAACCCAATTCGATTTCCGCCATGAGATCAAAAATTCTTCATCGAATTTCGCATAAATTCTTCAAAAAACGATAAATCAAAAGATATGAATGAACCCAGGAAAGAAAAAAACGACTAACATCGACATCTAAAGGGTTTTTGATATAGGTTGCTTCTGCTACTTGACGAGCATGTTCGAAGACCATCAATCTCTCGATTTCATTCTGCATATCCATTGATTCTCAAGCCTCGCGATTGATTTTTTGATTCTTCCGTCGCAACGAAAATTTAAGGAAGACGAGCTTAATCATATATAAGTCGGTTCACTCTTCTCGTCCGATTAGTGCTAAGTGGGCTTAATAGGCCTTATGGGCTTTCGCTAAAAGTCAGCCCAACAATAAATAAGAAAACTAAACTCTTTTTTTTTTTTTTTTTCACATAATCACACACTTTTATTAGTAACAACAAACTACACCAAACAAACAGATACAACAAATTACGTCTAAACACAACAAGATGTGTGATGCATCAGGTCATTGCATTTGAAGAAACAAGCAATGGAAAATCAACAAAACAGAGATCACAAGGGAAACAATACATAGCAAACGCGAAAGATCTGTGGTGTTTTCTTCTTCAGAGAGTTGAACAGCTTCAGGCTCATGATACCTCATCAAGATTCCCTGTGTATCATCACTGGATCCTGAGACTGGTGTCAAACTAAGCTCTGTCTTATTCCTCTTCATCTTCTTCTTCCCTAGAAGAAGCTTGCTAAGCCAACTCCAGTCACCTGTATGTTTACTGTTTTTTTTGTTATTTACTTGAGATACCTTAAAAGCTTCTGCTTCTCCAATGTTGCCTTCAGTTTCAGAGTAGCCAACTTTGATGCCACTACTACTCTGCCCCTCTTTTGCCAAGATCTTTACACCACATGCCATAATATTGTCATCACTGGAACTGAATTCAAACTGAATCTCGTTTGGAGTCACGTCCATAAGGCATCCGTTTTCTTCAGGAAATAAGTCGCCACAAAACATTAGCAGATGTTCTGATAGAGATCCACCAGACACAAATGTATATATGGACTGTGTAGTGCAGTTAATTTTGACACCTTCTCTGCTTCTTAGAATACAATTTATCTTACTAAATCCGAAATTCTTGATTGGCGAAAGCAGAAGGCTATCGAGTTAGGACATGTGTTAAATCTTGAGAACACAGAAAAAACCTCCTTACCACCTGGAGCCAGAGAGATGGTTATCGAGTTCCCTCTAGTTTGGTGAGCGAACTCTGCAGGGATTTTTTTACCTGGCAAGCATATAGACTTGTACCCGAATTGTTGTATGATTCCTCTTTTTGATGCATTATCCAGTTTCAGACAGTTGTGGAACATCAAATTCGAGATTGGTCTATGGAAAGAGCAGCATACACTCTTGAGTGATATACAGTGCTCTGCAGATAGAGAGGTCAGCGAAGGGAAATGACCCTGAATTGACACGAGTTTTCTGCAGTTGTCAACGTTTAGATATCCTAGATGCGGGAGACCTATGACGTAATCTGGAATCATCTTTATATCACTGTTGCTTAGGTCTAAAGATTTTACACTCTGTGGGACATGTGTTAATCTCTTGAGGCTTCTGCTGCCTATCTGTAGAATGTCAAGACGAGACCAGTATCCAACAATGGACGCAGGAAATTCTTTAATCTTTGTGCCTGCTACAGAGAGATACTCGATGTTTCTAGAAATATCTGGAAAACTTCTCAGTCGTGAGCAATTATCCATTTTGACCTCCTCAAGAGATGCTAAGTCGATATTGGTGGGAATAACTTGTAGCTTAGAGCACCCTGACGCATCCAGCATCTCCAGTTTGTGTAGATTTCTAATAGACGAGGGAAGCACCACCAAACTCTCACAACCGATAAGTTTCAATGTCTCGAGATTAGTGGCTTTCGAAAGATTTGGGATTTCTTTCAAATTAAAGGAGTATCCCAAGTCTATTTTCTTGAGATTTGCAAGGGGCTGCATGTCAAACAAAAAACGATTAGGAATATCATACTTAGGTTAAATCAATCTTTAGTAACAAATTCACAAGTATCAAGTACCAACCTGGATTCCTCCCCATAGCATCTCCAACTTGCTGTATCGCATATGGAGTTCAACGAGACATTCTGGCTGAAATGTCAAAGGAAGACTTTTTCTCGGGTATGAATCCCAATGAAGTAACCTTAGACGAGGTAGATATTTCATGTCCTCTAACAAACTAACATTTCCATTGAAGAATTTTAAGAACTTGAGATTACACATTCTTTCAAAGGCTCGCTTACTTATAGAGAACTCGCCTATCTTGGACATATCAAATGATATACCTATGATAGATCCAGTACCCTAATAACAATCATTCAAAAGAAGAAAGATGAATATTGCCATCATTCAAGATTTATTGAACGATATATCAAGATAATATATAAAGGTAAGAACTTACTGTTTTATTTGCTAGTACATCACGAATCTCTTTGGCCTCTACTAAAAACTGACGTTTCCCCGGCTCGCCAGACTGTTGAACAACTACGTGTCTACCCAATTGTTGTAGTAGACAATGCATCCTTATACGACCATGAGTAGATATATGCACAAGAGACTTAGCAGCTAAGTTCTTCAACCCATTTTCGACATCCAAAGTACTGTCAGCGAGCATGGTTGACACATAATCAACACTTTCATGGTTGAAAAAGCATGCAATATGAAGAAACAGAGATTGATGTTTCTCCAACAACTTGTCATACCCCACGCTCACGACATCCTCAACTTTTCTATCAAGATTAATTTCTATCCCATATAACTGAAGCCTCCACTCATCCTCGCTCTCCCCATAAAATGAAGAACCCACAACACGAAGGGCCAATGGAAGATTACCGCAAAGCTCTACTACTTTTCTTGCAAGCTCTTCAAAACCATCTTGTGGAGAACTTTGTTTGAAAGCAGAAAGACAAAATATCTCAAAAGCTTCTTTTTCGGAAGGATAATCCACATGGTAGATATCGTTGATCCCATGTGCCTTCAAAATCTTTTTATCTTTCAAGGTAACGATGATCCGACTTCCAGGACCGAACCAAAAACTTTCTTTAGCCAACACCTTTAGTTGCTCTAGATCATCCACATCATCAAGAACTATAAGCACTTTCTGGTTATGTAGCCATTCTTTTATTGCACCTAAATGATGTATCTTCATATCCTTTTGGTTCAAGATCTTGGACAGAAGCTTGTTTTGCAAACACAACTTCGAATCATAGTCATTAACATCAATGGTCCCCATAAAACAACTAAGCAGAAAACCGGTAGAGAGTTGGTTAAATAAAGCTTTAGCAATGGTAGTCTTACCAATTCCCGCAGGACCCCAAATGCCAATCATCTTCACATCATCACACTCGAGGCATAACAAAGAGTCCAGTTTAGTCAGGTGAGCTTCAAGTCCCACCATTCCCTCAAAATCCCTCGACGGAGTAACATTAAGTTTGTTTGAAACATCTGTGGCAATCTTTTGGATCATCTCTGCTTCATTAGCCCTAATAAAAGCAAACAAAATCAAAGTTGGTGGGTCTTAAAAGACTTCGGAAACATAAAAGCATTCTAATATATTGAGCTCAAAAGAAACAACAAACCAGTTTAGAGAGTTTTCTCCAGCTATGGTTGCTACATCAGTCAAAGCTTGGCTCCATCTCAGTTTCACTTCCTTGGTTTTCCCTTCACAAGTCTTCTTGAAAGTATTTCCGAAATCTCCCCGCTGTTTCCGTACATCGGACGGATCAACTTTGTAAAAAATAGTCATCACAGCTTGCCCCGAAGCTTCTTTGCACTTCAAGATTTCAGCCAACTCATCTAAACACCAGCCCGAAGAAGCATACTTCTCCGAAAGCACCACAATCGAGACTCTAGATTCTCTAATCGCTTGCACGAGCTCAGGTCCGATCGTATGGCCTCTCTCGATCTCCTGATCGTTGAACGTCGTGATCCCTTTGCTTGCAAAATGATTGTGTAAATGACTGAGAAATCCACTACGGACGTCTGGGCCGTGGAAACTCGAAAAGACATGGTATCTCTTGAAGTCGGACGGTGAAGAAGAAGCCATGAGAGATAGAGTAAAAGTAAAATTTGAAGAAGAAGGTATCACAATGGTCTATATATTAAGGGGAAAATGATAAGATAAGAGAAAAAAACAAACATGTGTCCCCAAAGTCATCAAGGACAACATAACACTGTGTTTCCTACTTTCACTATAGTGAGAAACAACAAAGAAATTACAAACATGTGTCCCCAAAGTCGTCGAAGACCACTGACTTTTATGATTTTAATCAGTTGTATAAAGCTTGCATACATAGGCATCAGCTTCTTTGTGCTAACAAGAATAAGTTATAAATTCCTCTGATTATGAAACTAATAAAAGCTAGAGATTAACATAAAAGACAAAATTTTCAATAACTAGTTGAATAATTAGTGAGACTGTTGAATAGCATTCTCACGTGGTTATTAGTGACAAAGAATGCAATGCTAATTACCAACATTTTTTACCTCAAAACATATCCTTCTTACTAAAACTGCAAAACATGACCACTAGTACTAGTACTGAATTTTGAGTGCCAGTTTGAAGCAAGGTCAAAAGTGACACAATATATATAAAGACTATACTCACATTTACCATAAGAGTTCACATTTCCAGGCAGAATCAGTGATAGTTAGGCATAAATTGAATTTGAAAATTTTCATCATAGCTAACTAAAAAAACAGAAGAAAAAGCACCTAGAATCATTTGTTTTGGCTTCAGAGACTTTCTGAAACTGTGAAATTTCCAATAAGCTCCTCCCCATCTGGTCAAATTCTACAAAAAAAATCAAAGAAACCCAATTCGAATTACAAATTATTCATCGAATTTCACATAAATTCTCCGAAAAACGAAAATAATTAAATGCCAACATCGGAATCTAAAGGTTGCTTCTGCTACTTTCCGAGCATGTTCAGGGAACATCAATCTCCCGACTTCACTCTGCATATCCATGGATTCTCGACCTTCGCGATTTTTTTTTTTCTTTTAATCTTCCGTAACGTATCAGGAAAATTTATGTCAGAATCATAATCATAATAATATCCTACAGAATAGCTTAATGGGCCTAATGGGCTTTTTGCTAAAGACAGCCCAATGAACAATAAAAATTTTTATAAAGAAACACTAAACCCCTTTTTTGGGTTTTGTGCAATATGAAGCTATTGATTGATGTTCCTCCAACAATTTAGATTAATTGTTTTTGACGTAGGTAGCTTCTGATACTTTGCGAGCATGATCGAAGAACACCAATCTCTCTATTTCACTCTGCATATCCATGGAATCTCAAGCCTCAATCGATTAATTTTTTAATTGTTAAATACATGTTAAAATATTTATAACGGATAAAATCCTCCGCATTGGCTTGGAATAATCCATTGCGGGTTCATATTTTTCCAGTCTTGGAGAAGTAGCTTTAGGTAATGCACCTTACTCTTTGTATCATTACAACAACTTGCATGAACTGTAGTTATCTTGCTTTGATCTTGTGGATTTGGTTGACAAAACCTCCCAAAGTTAGCATCATCCAAATAGGTTACTTTCTTATCAAGGGCGTCAACTACATCTTCGCGCTTGACAATGTCACACAAGGATTGGTTTCCAGTTTCAGGATACAAAACCCTCTCTACGTTCAAGATCTTAAACATGTCTATGGTTATATCATTGGACTTGGCATAGAAGAAACCTCCTGTGTTTTTTGTTGTTAAATGATCATGTTGATGATCACTCGATGAGAGCCCGCAAGCCACTGAGATATGATTTTGTGGGTGGCAATGCATTAGAGGATTTCTTAGCCACATTACATCTGCTTCCTGCAACCAAATTCAGACAGATCGATATAAATCAGCGTTTGAAAAAAACATTAAAGTTTTAAATCAATCTATCATCTAATTAGAATGTATAATGTTTTATCGGAATTAATCATTATGCGACAAAATTTTAAGCGTCTATAAAACTAAAAACGTAAACAACATGATCTATAAACACTACAATCAATAATTAAATTTTAAAAGTTGTTATAACCAAATTAAATTTTGCATTAAGAGAACTTACGGTGAACATTATGTGGTAACCGAGTTCTAAAATTTCTTTAACCAAAGACTTCTTGCTCCAACCGGTAACAAGACCATCCGGTTTTAAAGATTCTGACTTTTTTCTCGAACCTCTATGAAGATAACAATGCGGGTGGGCACGACGACAATATCTAAGAGCTTGATCATCTAAAGCCACAACGATCAAATGGTTTAGCAAGTGTTTGGTTCTTTCTCCAATTCGTAAACTCTCCAGGAACAGATCAAGAATAGAGTCAGGTTTTGCCCATTCTCGATCCACCATGGTAATAATTACTGTCCTGTCTTCTGTAGCTGCTTCTTTTAGTAGACTCGATAAGACTGAAGATTCCTGTGACCAGAGATACCAAATCTATCAATAATGTTATTGAATAAAAAGCATCATAAAGGGATCATAATCTTAATCTTACAGGTTGAAGATGTGAGAATTGTGTTCCTCTGATAGTATTCATGTATGGAGCACAAGAGTGATGATTATGATGATGATGAGACAATAACCAGAGAATGATCAAGAGAAGGCAACATATGACAAGGTAAGGTGACTTCACTATACTTACAATCTTCATTTTTTTTACTGAGTTTTGATTGCAAAATCTTAGAATATGAAAATCTTGAAAGTCCAAAATATATGTCCTTTTGTTATATTCGCAATAATGGATTTACTATGAATACATTGAATAGATAAGAAGGGGTTCATGCAGAATCTGGTTACAATCATTTCCTTTTGCTTCCAAATCCATATTTGTTAAGTAAATAATGGTTAGATTATACATTAATTGTTGGGATTCTCTCTTTTACTGACAAATAATTGCATTTTGCACTTTTCCAGAATTTATTACCCAAATAACTTTTGTTTTTGACTAAATTAGAGATTGTTTTTTGGGTAGAAACTATATTAGAGATTGTTGTTATGAGAGATCGTTTCTCCAAGTTTACTTCCATTTTTAATATTTGTTTTCTGATTTTGGATTTTGTTTCAAGTATATTTTTTTACTTGCTGCGTTAAAATGGGCTGACTAGGTCCGAGCCTAATTCGTGTTCAACCCACCAGTTATTTCATGGGTTTATTGACTTTTACCTTTGGTAATGCATTTAAAAAAACAATCAGTCATTTAAATAAAATAGCGAATTAGAGGTTGTATAGATTGATCCATATAAATCCCTAAAGATTATGATAAAAAGTGTAAATATTTTGTAGGTGTTTATGTGATTATGTCTAATCGCTATACTATATCAACGGAATATGAGGTGTCTTGTTAATGTTAATTAAACAGAATTAAAAAAGTATTAATTATATATATATATATATATATAAAAGAAAATAACTCAAATTTCTTATGATTATTCATATTAAACTGGTTACTTTAGCCTTCATTATTGAAGTAAAAACAAAAAGAATATAATGGACACAGAGATATCTAACTTATTGTATATTAAATATTTATTTTTCAATTAGGCCTACAAGAGTAAAGTAAGTAATCTCAATTATACTCAGCCTTTAGAATGTCTCTCTTATGTTTATATATAAATTACATCTTGCAATATATAAAAGAGAAAGTGACTTATAGCAATCCACATATAGTCAATAAGGGAAACAAAACCAATCATTTGTATACTTAAACCGGAATATTTAAACCGGTGATGATGTCTCAGACTCAGTAGCAAATTAATGTTTTGATTATTGGATATTGGTTTGCTAGATAAGCAATGTAAAAGAAGTTGATAAGATTTGACACGTCAGACCTCAAAATTTATCCATGTAAGGGGATAATAATAATAATAATAATAATCTTGAACGTATTCATTTTCTCTAAAAATGTTTTGAGAAATATTGATGTTTGATGTTCGACCTTTTGTTTCTTTATATACAGGGTTGGCTGATTTTTCAGCCCTTAACTATTCGCAAACTCAAGGATTCCCCCTATACTTTTTTGCTCTTAAAAAACCACCAACAACTAACACTTTTCTTAAAAAAACACCACGTACTTTCAGATTCAGCTTGAAAAATACGCCTCCAATTGAACCGGCCATTAAACCGGGTTTAACCACAAATCCGCGTTTACTGTACCGCGATTAGAATTACCCGGATGATTATCCATGACCCTTTAAGAAAACGACGTTGTTTTCACTTGTCTCAAAATAAAGCCAAAACGACGTTGTTCTTGTATATAAAATCGATTTGGGGGTTTAGGGTTCATCTTCATCAACATTTGGTACTAAATTTCTGATTTCAGCTAACTTATCATCAGATACTAACCTAATCTTCCTATCTCTAGTGACCACAAGATCCTCATCTTCATTATCACTCTCTGGAATTACACCACGACGAATCTGAAACGCATCAAACCAATTTGCCATTGCTTCCTCCATCTCGAACTCAAACCTCTCCATTATGTCTTCTTCACACAGATCTTTGTTCTCTTTTCTCCTCGGTTTTTTCTCTCTTTGACCTTCTTCACCTTCACCTTCATGTCGTTTTCTCTTCCTTCGGATTTCATCTCTGCCATCGTTTCCATCATTCTCAAAGTCTCTGTCGTTGTTGTCACACTCTCTATCGTTGTCTCCTCCATCTTTTTCAGTCTCACTGTCGGAGTCGTCTCCTCCAGCACTAGCGTCCTCACCATCTCCCTCATCTCCGCTTTCAATTCCACTGTCGACCACATCACTCTCACTCTCTAGAGGCTCGAAATTAGGATCATCAGGATCACTTTGATAAACTAATTCTTTCCACGGCGTATAATCCGATGTATCCCCAACCCAATTAGACATAATTCCAAACCCTAACCCAGAAATTGCAAATTCCCCTTTTCCCTTTCTCTGAAGAACCCTAATTTTGAAATGGGTGAACAATGACGATTCACGATTTTTGAGAAATTGAGAGAAGAGTGAAATGACGTCGTTTTCTTAACGGGTTATGGATAATCATCCGGGTAATCCTAATCGCGGTACAGTAAACGCGGATTTGTGGTTAAACCCGGTTTAATGGCCGGTTCAATTGGAGGCGTATGTTTCAAGCTGAATCCGAAAGTACGTGGTGTTTTTTTAAGAAAAGTGTTAGTTGTTGGTGATTTTTTAAGAGCAAAAAAGTATAGGGGGAATCCTTGAGTTTGCGAATAGTTAAGGGCTGAAAAATCAGCCAACCCTTATATACAACTTGAGTTTTGATATCTTAGACCCTCACATTCATAGACGTTAAGAATATATACTTTTTTTTCTTTAACAATGAAGTTCTACGGGATGCCAACTTTTGGTAATACCTATTAAAATTATATCTCTTCCAATTAGAAATTCGAATTTCAGAACGAATACTCAAAAATATTTAATTTCTTGTATCATTGCATATATCAATCACGTCATGAAAAAAAAAAAATAAGTTAGTTGATTTATGCAATGATACAAGAAATTCACGTCTTTCTATTCCAAATTCCAACATACTTCAAAAATGACCGTATATGTGGGATGATTATTTGAAAAAGGGAAAAGGTGGCAAGATCTTGATTAAGTGGAGTGTATGATGATAGATATGTTTTAAGAAAATTATGTGACATGCATTTGTGTATGTTTTAAACTAATAGCAGGCTACTTTACAAGATGTCATGTATAAATCATCCATAAAGTCACATTTAAGTTATTTATAATTTTTCCACCATATTGTTTTACAAACAAACCTCCACCATTTGGTTATTTAGCAAATTCACCAGAGACTTTTTTTTATGTTACATTCTGATTGATTGTTTATATTTATAATACTGTCACCGCCACTAATATATTTAACACCCTTATTATTAATTGATAATCGTAGTATTATTATTAAAATTGGACATTTGAAAAATAAAATATTGGGTATGATCGGTAGACTAAAAAACCTGTCACTCTCTTGCATATTCTCTGATCAACTAAAACTACCTAATCGTTAAATAATTTTTTTTTTTTCATTAAATAAATTTTAATTGCCTAAAGTTTTTATAACTCATCTTATTGTTGAAAACTATTAATAATTTGCTTATAATCTTTGGGTCACTATCATCCCATCCCCAAAGTCGAGGAATTACATAACAAACATGTCAAGAGTGTACGTATCTGGTCGGCCATAGGCGGTGAGTCGACGCCGTGTTCAACATTACCATCTTTCTTTTTTGTTAAAGCTTTTGTATTTTTTCCCCAAAATTAAAATAATATTTTCGTCAATAACTTTGCCTAACTTCATACTCAAAGGAAATATGCAAATCTCGATATCTAATTATTTTAATACCGCATTATTAAAATTCATCATGAAAAGATTTATGATTTGTTAATTGTTCATAAATCTAATATAAATGTTGTAAACTCATGAATTTGGTAAGTTGTTACGCTTTCGACATTGATTAACTTATAAAAAAAATTATCACGTTAACTAACAATCCAACTTATAACATTTTTAAATCCTGAATCCTAGTTTATCAAAAAAAAAAAAAATCCTGAATCCTAAAACAAATGAATCATCGTTTTTGGACGACCAAAAACTTTCATGTAATAAACACATGCATATTGGTTAAGATCGGCGGATTGTTCCAATAAAATATTTATTGCACATGATAATGTTTTTTAGTACTCAACTTAATTTTAACTGCTTTCGCGATTGCTTCATTCAACATTTATCACGAATGGATGCATCTTTTAGCTGCCGGTAACACGAAAGATACTCTTGCGAAAGCTTTTACCATGTTCCCATTTCTACGTATTGTTGTTTGGTTTGTGGATACCTTATAAACAAAACTTATCTCCAACAATCTTTACATGTAAAAAAATGGTGGTCCGAACAATTTTACAAACAAGAAAGCCTAATATTTTGTTTATATTTGTATATAACTTCTGTTTTCTTATCATAATATATAACTTCTGTTTCTACTCATAATTGTGTCTATTTTTTGGTTAGTAACCTTTTCTTTAATCATCTCAAATTCTCAATCATGAGGGAAAGAAACCAAAAATTAAATAAAAAGCAAAAAAAGAAACAAAAGTCACATGAACCATGACGAGATACGTGGCTCATTCATGAGACCATCCAGTTGGATTTAGATCTGATCACAAGATCGTCGTCAAATAGGGACTCTACATATGGATCACATGGTTTTCGCAGATGCCAAGTGGAGCTTCTTCTCTACTGGCCCCATTCCTGACCAAACTTATGTACAACACATTATTCGGTTGGTTGGATTATTTATTAATTTAATAAAATATTTTTGCAACCAAGAACTTTCTGAATAATTTCTCATATCAGAGATCATAACAAGTTTTCTATAATTCTACCTGCCGCCATAATTCGGGTTTGTAGTCTTTAATTCTCTTTTTACGTGTACAAGTTGAATAACCAACACGACAACACCTAATCGTTTATTTAATTTGTTAGAGTACTTTTTTACATAGAGTATATATATTTCATTTCTTCTTGTTAGGTTGTATATTTTTAATGTTTTTGCCATTCCTCCTTTTAAATATTGTATCGTATCTTTTCATATTTAGTTATGGGATTTATAGTCTCATCCATTTCATATTATATAACTAGATAATACTTATTTGACAACGATGTATTAAACAAAAACATCGTATAATCTTAACGTTAATTTATACGGGTACGTTTCTTTTTCAAAAAAAAAAAAAAAAAAATTATATATACGTTAATATGGTCAAATATTTATCTCCAATTGGACGCTTTTGAGGGCCGAGATATATAAATCACGTGTTTGGAGAATAAATGATTTAGAGTTAAAATATTCGTACAAGAGAAATTAATTTTAAAATGGCTGTTCGATTAGCTCAAGGGTCGGAATTCTTCTGATCGTTGGATCTTGTAGTGATCGAGCGTATGATTACACGTGTTTAAATATTATTGGTCACAAAGGTTTCTGCTGATCTGTCAGATGTAATGGCTGAGTTGTCCCTTGACACAAGACACCAATTTAACAGGGGAGATTTGGTCACTTGGTCAGTACGCAACCAAATCCAAATGGCTGATTAATGGAGAATTAAGTTTACGAAATTAGAAGAACAAATATATTACGAAATCTTATCATAAAGTGGATATTGATTTTTCTTCTTTTACATAATTTAAAAATTGAAGTAAAAGGTTTTAATCGATATTTATATTAAAACGGAGGAAATGATTAGGAAACAAAAAAAAGGGTACATGGGACACAAAAAAGAGAAGCTGTTGTGGAACTTATTGTTGTCTCTTCTCATTCCATGAATAATGATACATATATATAGGCATATAAACCTAGGGTTTTAGAGTACATAATGAATAACCCTGATGGGCTTATTGGGCCCGGTTATAAGTCCAATATGATGTATTATAACACTCCCCCTTGGACGGAGTAACCGGACCTGATGGTCAATCGGGATCTCGATAATACGCTGGGGAATGTTGCCTCATTAAAACCTTACCAGGAAAACCCAGTGGGAAAAACCATGGTGAAGGAAAAAGAGTACAACACGCATTACTCCCCCTGATTAGAGCATCACCGTAGATCTCTAAGTCTACGCATTCCTATTTGTTGGATGAGCTTCCGGAGTGTTGAAGCGGGCAATGATTTGGTGAAAAGGTCGGCGGAGTTATCGCTTGATCGGACCTGTTGAACGCTGATCGTACCATCCTTCTGCAAATCCGAGGTTGAGAAGAATTTCGGTAGGATGTGCTTCGTCCGATCTCCTTTGATATAACCTTCCTTGAGTTGAGCAATGCAAGCCGCGTTGTCTTCAAACATAACCGTGGGCTCCTTATCTTCTTTCATACCACAATCTGATCGGATGTGCTGAGTCATGGATCGTAGCCAAACACATTCTCTGCTGGCTTCGTGAATGGCCAAAAGTTCTGCATGGTTTGATGAAGTGGTAGTGATTGTCTGCTTTATCGATCTCCAAGAGATAGCTGTTCCTCCATGCGTGAACACATAACCAGTTTGAGACTTGGCATTGTGCGGATCTGATTGATATCCTGCATCAGCAAAGCCAACTAGTCCATCCTTGTTGTGGTTAGTGTAAAACAGTCCTAAGTCTTTAGTACCTTGAAGGTATCTTAGGAGGTGTTTGATACCATTCCAGTGCCTCTGAGTTGGACATGAACTGAAGCGAGCTAGGAGGTTCACGGCAAAGCAAATGTCTGGTCTAGTGTGACTAGCCAAGTACATTAACGCTCCTACAGCACTGAGGTATGGCTTTTCTGGACCGAGAATTTCTTCATCGTCCTTCTAGGGACCGAGTGGATCACTGTCCAATCCTAGGCTCCGAACAACCATTGGGCTGGTCAATGGGTGGGCCTGGTCCATGTTGAATCGCTTGAGTACTTTTTCAATATATAAGCCGCTTGATGCACAAGGATTCCTCCTTTGACGTACTCAAGTTGTAAACCCAAACAGAATTTAGTTTTACCTAGGTCTTTCATTTCGAATTCTGCTTTCAAGCAGTCGACTGTTTGGGAGATTTCACCAGATGTTCCGAGGATGTTTAGATCATCCACGTAAACTGCTATGATTACAAATCCTTTGTTTGAGTATTTCTTGATGAAAATGCATGGACTGATGGGATCGTTTTTGTAGCCTTCTCTGATGAGATATTCACTTAACCGGTTATACCACATACGTCCACTTTGTTTCAGTCCATACAAGGATTTGTTCAGCCTGATGCAGTATTGATCTCGAGATGCATGCTTATCTTTAAGCTCTATGCCATCTGGTAATCTCATGTATATTTCATTGTCCAGGGGCCCATAGAGATATGCGGTGACAACATCCATTAACCGCAAATTTAGATTTTCTCTTATGGCCAGACTTATGAGGAATCGAAAAGTAGTTGCATCCAC